CCCATTGAGGTTGTTCCTCAGTTGGCTGACACACCATGGTTGCTGCTCTGTTTTGTTTGTTGCGTGATGTGATATATAATAGCACTCAAAGTAAACCCTCTTGTTGACAATTGTAGTATGGATAAGTAGGGATTGTTTTAGGCCGGGGATTAGGAGGGATTGCTAATCTACTTAAAACTAACTCAAAAACACAAAACTAAGCTTAAAAATATTTAACTAGACTCAAAGAACTCGAAACACAGTAAAAATACTCAAAACAGCACAAAATAATCAAATAGACTCAAACTAGACACTAAAGGTGATTTGGACGAAAATTACTTTTAACTTGACTCAAAACGCTTAAAAACACCTGTTTGGACAGATTCTAACTAATTTGACACAATAAAGTAAAGGGCATTGGATTTTTGACGAATTTAAAGTAAAGACAAGTAGATTAAAGACTCTTAAACAACTTGGACGAAATTGGGTGAAATATGGGTGAATGGCTAGCTAGAGGATTCATCTCCACACATGGCACATATGCATATAAATCGATTTCCAGTTATTTTTCCTATAAACCATGAATGACAATGCCCCAAATTAACCGTGAACTGCAGAAATTAACTCTCAAATTTTCCTAATTTCATTGAATTGGATGGACAACGCATTGGCAACCAAATTATTCCTTAACAATTCCCTACATGAACAACATAATAGAGATACAATCAAAGATCATTAAGTTCTACGAAAATCATAAGCATTGACATGACATTCGTAACTATGAACTGCATGATACTCCTGCCATGAATTTACTTAACACGATTGTGACTAGCAACCTCGACTACTTATAAATATCAGTTCATAACTAATAGGTGAAATTCCCTTATATTTTAGCATCAAATCCATGCATGCAAACTAAGTAGGCCTCCTTAATCAACATACAAGAATAAGTTATCAATCAAACAGATAAGTAAATCGCATTCATGTTTTACGAAACAATAACTGGAGGAAATCAACTCATATCACATATATATTCATGGCTTTGAATCCACCTCTAGCTAAAAAGAAATTAGTTCCTCATGTTCACAATTAAACAAAGACAATTAAATTTAAACATTGAAAACTAAGATAGAATACACCTAGAAACGCTCCAACAATCCAACGTCTTAAATGGCAAGCATGGCTCCAGGTGGCTTATTCTTCTCCTTCCTTGCACAGTTGCGGCACAATGGGGATTTTCTGAGTTTATAGCTCTTGTGTGTGGTGTGAATTATGGTGTAAATGTATGGGATGTGGTGAATGATAGGTGCGGCAGAATGTAGTATTTATAGGGCTAAAACACACGACATAGAGTCATTGTTTTGGAGAAGAATTAAACACTCCAAATCCACAAGGAAAAAGCCATCTAGAAATCAGAAACCAAAGAGAATAGGGATAGGGGGTGCGGCAGATTTAGGCTTCTAGAAAGAGATAGGTCTTCTAGAAACATGTTTTTATGTGTCCAAGTCTAAAAACAACTCCCCTTTGTAGCTGGAATTAAGGTAGCAAAAGATTAGGATAGGATAAGATAAGATAAGGTTGGATAAGATAAGGTAGTTTGGATAAGGTTCCATGTTTCTTGCTCTTTCCTTATCTTCTTTGTCTTGAATTTGTTTCTCCAGATTTGTAGCATGTTCCTAGCCTCTTTTAACTTCAAATTCATCCATCCACCTTGCTCCATATGCAAGCTATCCATTCCAGCCCAAAATTGCTCTAAAATGCACCAATATGCACTTTGTTGCCTCTTTTGCCATTTAAACCTACAAGCACACGAAAATAACTTAAATCACTATAATAAATAGAAACTAACTATGTAAATGCAAGAAAACAAGCTAACTAAGTCACATAAATATGCTCATATCATTGCGCCTTACTTGAATTTCTTCATCAAATTCATGCATTCGATTATGCCAAAATGTATTACAAAACAAATTGAGCTGGAGTAGTTTATGTTTTTTTTTTTTTTTTTTTTTTGGGGGGGGAAACTGGAAATGTAATACTAGGGCCAAGATGCCAAATATATACAAGAAAAGTCTACACCGAGACCAACAAGGAACAAAGTGGCAAAACAAAGCAGTGAAGGGAATAAAGAGAAAGATACTAGAACCAGGTTCAAGTGTCGCCCCAACGACTGCCACTAGACATCAAGAGGGACAAGGTAAGCCATCCTTATTGAGGACATGAACCAGTGAAGATGGTGGTATATGGACCCAAGTAATATTGCACATCTCCGTACTTCTTCGTGATGCTAAAGTATCTGCCTCCATATTGGCTGACCTTGGAACCCAAGATCAGCGACAGTCTTGTAAGGACTCCACTGCACGTTTAACAATCATTAAGGTAGGAAAGGCCTCTCATATGCCATTATCCAACGAAGTTGATAAATATGAAATCATCTCCTTCGAATCAGACTTGATGATTACCCAGCGATGGCCCATAGTTGCAGCCAACTCACACCCTCTCAAAATAGCTAAAGCTTCAGCCGTGGCTGCATTGGTAGCCTGGACCTCGGACCTTGCTGTAGCCACAAATAAACCCTGCTGATCTCTGAAACGCATTATGATCCAATTTACAGAACTTTGTACTTATGACCAGAGTTGTTATATTATAATCACTATGTATAAATTATAACTGTAAAAAATTAAGAAAAGATGAGAACGTTTAGTTATCCAATTGCATATAGGGTCGAAATAGGTAAAATTATTACGAACTGTCTATCTATTTGCTACAATTAATTGACTAAATAATCTTTATTATTTGATTTTTTATAAGGATGATCCTTAGTTAATAATTTATAATATGAATGGTTTTAATTTTAAGTATGAAGCTTTATGAATCAGCCCCGAAATATTTTATGAAACAATTCTAAGCATTGTTCGTTGCAAAGGGGATCACCAATGCTAACGATGACTAGGCTAAGGATGATAAGAGAATAGAGGATACAATACTTAATATTTTAATGAGTTGTTTTGCTCTTTGACCTCCTGCAGCGCTCTTGGGAGAATAGAGTGACGGCCACGATGAATAAGGAACTAGACAGGTCCTTTTCTACGGAGGAAATCAAAGCAGTTGTTTTCCAAATGAAACCTTCCACGACTCCTAGACCGGACGGTATAACACCTTTCTTCCAACACTTCTGGCATATTGTGGTCATGATGTCACCCTGGATGTTCAATCCTTTCTTTCCTCCGGGAAATTGCTCAAACAAATCAACTATACTTCGGTTTCCCTCATCCTGAAACAGAAAACGCAGAAAGATATGTGCATATTGAGACCAATTAGCCTCTGTAATGTTCTCTTCTAAAATTGTGTCCAAGGTCTTGGCTAATAGGCTCAAAAGTATTCTTCCTATAATTATTTTGCCAACTCAGAGCGCGATTATTCCTGGTAGGCACATCTTAGACAACGTCATCTTGGCTTCTGAAATTTCCAACTTTTTAGCCAAGAGGCGGCAGGAAAAAGCAAATTCTTATTGCTAAAGCTTGGTATTAGCAAGGCGTATGACCATATTGAATGGATGTATCTTCGGAGTGTCCTTATTAAGTTGGGTTTCTCCTCCAAGTGAATTGATCATATCAGATTTGTGTCACCACTATCTTAGACACTTTTATTGTCAATGCGAGTCCTCGTGGCTATTTACATTCTTCCCGTGGCCTCCGATAGGGAGACCCTTTTTCACCATACCTCTTACTTCTATGTGCCGAAGGTCTCTCGGCCTTGATTGTCATAAACGAGCGTGGGGCTACTCACTGGCATTTCAATTTATCCTAGAGCTCCATCTGTGAATCATCTTCTTTTTGCGGATGATAGTCTTCTTTTCAGCCGTGCTAAAGAAGTCGATTGCCTCCATATTTCTTTAGCCGTGCTAGAAAAGATGATAGTCTTCTTTTCGTGGATAATAGTCTTCTCTTTTGCGGATGATAGTCTCTTCAGCCGTGCTAAAGAAGACCATGAAAACGCCTCTGGTAATAAAGTTAACGTTCATAAAAATGAAGTATGCTTCAGCCCAAATATCAAACCACCGATGCGCTCGAAATTGGCTCATCTGCTTGTGGTGTAGGCCATTGAACGCCATGAGAAATATTTAGGTATTGTCAACCATTGTTGGAAGAAATCACTCTTGATGATTCAGGTTCATTAAAGACAGATTGTGGAAAATACTTCATAGCTGGAAGAGCAAGCTTTTGAGTGCTACGGGCAAATAAATTTTGATCAAAACCGTGGCTCGGTCTATACAGATTTACACCGAGTTGTTTTCATCTCCCTAAACACTTCTATGAAGATTTGAACCGGGTTGTTGCCTCTTTTTGGTGGAACGGAAACGATGGGAGAAAAAGGGGTGAGGATCCTCTCCTAATCGTGTTTCTGTAATCCTAGGAATCAATTCATATTAGTCTTTTATCGTACATTATGCGGTCAGTCGTTAAGTATTGTTGTGTTCAATTTTAAATTAAAATATTCACAATGATTAATGATCTAGATAGGATCCTCACAAAATCCTCACAAAGAGGATCTAGATAGGATTCGATTCCGAGAAAATGATTCATTAGTGTTCCTGGAATAAATTGACACTCCTAAATTGGTGGGTAATCCAGGTTAGCAAATTTGTTAAGCCTACATTTGTCATACCATCATTTAGTAGTCAATTTAACAAATTGATTAATGAATTTCTGACACTGCGACTAAACATAAACATGACTTTATGTATATAAGATTAAAATATTTTAAAAATATTGTAGAAGATTGTAATTACACTCAAACTAAAGAGGCAATCTGTAATTTAACGAAAGGTAAAAACTACAAAATGGACGGTAGCCAAGTGGTCTCTCAAATTCCAATCAATACAAAAACCCACGTGAAATAATACTGTAGTGGGAAACCAATGCAACGGTCCAAATTAAAAGTTGGTTCCCCACCTGATCCAAAGGCTCTAATCACCCTTCCTTTTATTTATTTTTTGTTTAATTGTAAAAAAAAGGGTTTTCGTTTTTACCGTTTTGCTGGCAACGTTGCCAGTCTGAAGGAAAAAGCAGAGAAATTTTGAAGAACCCTATTCTGCTTTTGAACCCGGAAAGCCCGAATCATGATGACGAAAGGTCTGAAACGTTTTTCTGTATCGGACTCCAACTCTGACTCGCCTGTAAGTACCACTTCCCCTTTTTAAAATTTCACATTTTTGTTGTTTTTATGCAATTTTTATTGATTTTTTTTTTTTTGGGGGAACCCTAGTTTCTAGCTTTTGTTTTTGGGATTGAAGTGTATTGGAGGCCCTGCGGATTTTTTTTAAATTGTTTTGTGTGAATAAATCCCAAAGGTTTTGAATTTTAAGCTGATTAGTCGAGCTGTTTAGGGGGGAATTAGCTTATAGAGGTTGCAACTTTGCATTATATTATTAAAGAGTACATAATCTAAAAGGGTTATTGGGTTTTTATTAGTTTTACAGATTGGAATTGTGTGATTATTTGTTAAAAAAAAAAAAATCAACTTTTGTCAATTTGTGGGCTGACCAAGGATTTTGTGGGTACACGAAGTAATAAGGTAGGAATAATAAAGTAAAACTGAGCAAAGGGTGTGGAAGATATGCAGACTTTAAAAAGGAAATTAGGCGGCCGTTCTCTTCTTAAGGAGAAGGGTAGACGGCGAAGTTATGGTAGAAGTAAGAAGGAGCAGGTTTTATTGATGTCAAGTATGTAGGTGATACTGGAAATGTCCACTGGTATGGGATGGTTCGGTATGGGGGTTTTGAGGAAATGGTACCAGACCATACCGAACCAATTAGTTTCTGTATGATCTGGTATCACTTTGGTACCATATTAAATAATTCTCAAATTTAAGAAGCATGGCATGAAAAGTGTAGAGGAGTTGAGCAAATGACGCCGTCCGAACTCGGTGCACAAATCCAGAAGGTTGTTGCAGGCAGCCACCAAGAGGCATTTGTTAGTCCATTTAAGTTCATTGTCTTAGCTAATTGAACTTAATTGCAAGCATATCTAGTTGCAAGGGTTTGAAATGATGTCCATTTTAAAGTACATCGGTAGCAATCATCTGGATGAAGTCATTTTTGGGATTATTTGGGAGAACTCGGCAGTAGGTTAGCAGCTTCTGCATGGGGATTGAAGGAATGAACTTGCAATGATGTCCATTATAAAGTACATCGGTAGCAATAATCTGGTTTTTGGGATTATTTGGGAGAACTTGGCTGTAGGTTAGCAGCTTCTACATGGGGTTCGAAGGAATGAACTTGCCAAACAACCAATTAAAAGGGGACGGGACACATCAATTTAATATATATATATATATATATAATATTTAATTTCCATCGGTTCGGCACGGTATTAGTCGATGCCGCATCCATCCTGATTATTGAGCTTCGGTTTGGTTTCAAAATGAAACATAAGTTTTTAATAATGAAAGGTATGGAACGGTTTTGGTTTTACGGTTTCGGATGTCTGCCTCTAATTATGGGTCTTATGCAAAACATCGAAGGGGTTATTGGTGGTTTTAAATTTCCACATTTAAGTTTGTCAAGGGAATACTACTTCTTATATTGGTGGGGTGTGGAGTGTGGGGGTTAGAGATTTTGGAATGTCAGTTGCTGTGTTAATTTTTTTTATATTTTCTCTTTCACCAATATGCAGTTCCGGAATAAAAGGATTATGGCGGGATCCTCGTATGACTCCAATAGGGCAGAGCCTTCTCAAGAGCAGTCAACAGATACACCTCCATTGGATGCACAGCGGGCTGCATCATCTCGGCAGCATGTGAGAGCTCTGAACACCCAATTTGCAAGGTACATCTTATTTCTCTTGCAATAACTATATATGCTTTCATCATGTGTATGTGGCTAAATGTGGCTATGCCGAAGTTTCTTATCAGGTTTCCAACTAAATTGGTTTCTTTTTATTGACACTATTCTTCTTTATTAAATATTACGTACGCATTTCATTATCTCAGTATGACTTGATATGATTTATATGATATTGAAGTTTCTACATTATTTAAATTCCTATTTGTTCTCAAAATTATTCCTGCTACTCAGATCATGGCCCTCAGTTGTCTTATGTTTATTGGAATTTGGACCTTTTAGAATTGATAATGTTTTCTCTATGAATATGTTTTTGTACAGTTGGGTACAAACACAACTAAAGAATCATCCTGATGAACTTTGGGAAGATGGTGTCCGTGATTATCTAGCTCATGCTTCAAACATTATGGTAATTCTCTTCAACTTTATATCTGTTTGAAAGGATATGTATACAGTCTGGGTAATTCTACATTCTTAGCAATTAGACGAGATGTTGAATAAAATTCTTTCATAGAAGCCATTTGGATTAGTTCATTCAATAATTTCTTGTTCAAGACCTCTATTTCCTTCCTAATTATTTCCATTTGGCATGGTAGGGTGGGGATGGCAACAGTTTTCACCTGCATACTCTTTCTTCCTTCGCATTATTAGTTTCTCTATCTCCCCCATCCCCACCCTCCCTCCTTTCTCTTTAAATTGTTTCTACCATATAGTAAATGTTTATTAAATTTAGTTTCTGTATTCACACTCTCATTTCAGGAGAAATTCAGTGATGTCGTTAACTGGCTTAAAGTAAATGCTGCAAAAGGGGAAAATTTGGCAGCAGCAGGATCTTATATTACTGCTGAAAAGAAAATGGCTCCCGAGTCCGCGAATAGTAATACAAAATTTAATCAGACAAAACCCTTTTTTTCACCAATTGGTACAACTGTTAGCTTTGCAACTTCATGGAGTTCTGGAGTATTCTCCAACGGCCAAAGCTCTGCAGGTGCCTTCTCCAACAACCACAGCTCCACAGGAGTAACACCTACAATCCAAAGTTCGGCAGGAGAATTTTCTAACAGTCAAAGCTCTTCAGAAATATTTGGCAGCCAGAGCTCGCCAGTCTTATTGACTAGTCAGAGCTCCGGACTATTTCCCAGTACTCTAAGTTCTGGAATGTTTTCCACAAGTCAGAGCACTGGATCAGATCAAAAGAAAACTGAAAGTTTCGGAATATTTGCCAATATTCAAAGCTCGGCAATATTTTCGAATAATCAAAGCTCCGGAGTATTTTCTAGTAGTCAAAGTTCTGTGGCTTTCCCCAACACTCCCAGTTTTGGACTTTTCTCCAACAGTCAAAGCTTGGGGTTGTCTTCCAATACTCAGAGTTCTGCGGCGTTCTCCAGCACTCCCAGTTTTGGATTATTATCCAACAGTCAAAGCCCTGGGTTGCCCTTCAACAATCAGCCCCCTTCCATGTTTGGTGGGTATCATATTAACGACATGTTTCATTTATGGTATAAATGGTCTTGATTCTTGATGTGTTTCATAGTAGATCCGATTATAAATTCAGATTACACAGTAGAGCAAAAATGTTTCATTCCTAAATTATGTTGAATTATTTTTATGGACAGAAAGAACATGGTACAAGTAATTAAGGGTATGCTGACCAGGAGAAAACACTGATATTGTACGGTGCTTTCCGGAGTATTTTATGATAAAGTTTGTAGATTCCTAAAAAGTTCAGAATGTTTAATCTACAGTTGGAAATGGTTGCAAGTAGCTTGATATATTTTCACAATTAACTTATTACTTGCTTACTGCCTGTCATTGATTTATCGCTAGTATCCTGAACATATAGAATCTTATTTAGAATGTTAAGGAAAAATGGCACCGTTGAATATCTACCAGCCATACTATTTCTAGTAGAGGAGTGTTACTTCTGTGAGTTTGATGTATTTGACATCCTTATTTTCTTTTTGGTAATTTTGTACCAGGATTTCAAAGTTCAGCTCCCCCAAAGCAAGATGAAGCAGATGATGGTGAGACAATAAGTTTTTGCTCTTTTACCTTTACTATTATTTTCTGTTAATTTCCCCCCTCAATTTACCTCTTCATGTATGTTTGATTCCATGTCATATTTTTATTTCATATGCTTTAAGCATCCAACTATAGTTATTGTCTTGATGAATGAGTTCTCATTTGTTATCTAGAAACATTTCTCTGAGTGAAGCTTGTGAGCTTCCGATGTTTGGTTTTAATTTGTTAGAAGACTTTTTCATTGCTAAATACCACCTTTTGTTCCTTTTTATAAAGGGTTAGGCATTTGATTGAGTTGTTAATTTGTCAATTAATTTGAAACCTAAAGCCTATTGCTGCAACATAAAAGGAACTAAATATGTTTTCAATTGGTGCACCTGTGATGTCAAGCATGGAATCCCTTAAGTAAATGCCTGTATCCTACATGTTGAGTCCTCCAATACTAACGTGTTTCGTAGACATCCAATTCAAAAAAGAGTAGTCTGGAGATGAAGTTGCCACATTCAGGACACCTCACTTGGGAAACCTGGGACAATTGATTTATCCTTTTGTTTTGTTTTTGTTTTAAAGACTACCCACAAATAAAGGCACTTCCTTGACTTGCAAAGTTAGGAGTTGACTAAATAACTTGGGTAATTAGATATCATATTCAAATGCTTCTGTTATGTTGGATTTTCCTGACTGTATGAAGAAGCTTTCCTTGGTTTTCAGAATTTAAGGGAAAGAAGCTCATGCGTCTATGACTTCATGATCATTAAATTTGAATTTATTGTCTCTCCAGTTTGCATTCCTTTTAGTGTTCCACTAGTGGGTCTATGTGGCAGGACATGATTATATTTGTGCCTTTGTGTCAGGTTCATGGTCCAAGTTTGTGGACATATAGGGTTTGCATTGAACTACATCCCGTTCACCATATTTATAGCTGTTAAAATTTAATGGTGATGGTTACCTGTGCTGATAGTTTTAGAAATTATCTCGATATGGTCTTCGATTCTTTTTAAGTACTGAATGTTCATGTTCTGGTCCAGAAAATGGATTGGAGCAACCTGGAAGCCCATCTGTGGAAAAGTCTGAAGAGAAGGGTGTTGTTGTAGTCCATGAAGTCAAGTGCAAACTTTATGCGAAGGTATGTGAGTATGAAACTTTGTAATCTTCTCTATTCATTAAGATAACATTCATAAATAGCATTCTGAATTTGTTCATAAATAGAATTCTGAATTTGTTCACTCTACCAAAATTTGAAACCCTCTTTACTTTCATTGATTTCCAAATGTTGTATTTAATCTATTTTTTCATTCAAAGTTTATAAAAATGCGTGCTGGTATCAGTCTATTGATATTTAATTACTTATATTGGATTTTCCATGTTTGAGTTATATGAAGATGTTGATGTAATAGATATATCCATATGTACAAAATAGAGGTTTTAAACAATACATATCAGTAGACTTAACATGCGCATTCATGCATTTTATTTACTCCTGTACTGCAGTTACTGATGCTAATATTTTATTGTGCGGTATTGTATTGGTATGTTTCACAAAACCAAAAAAAAGAATAAAAATAAATGAGGAGGGGCAGCCTCAGCTTTAGACATTTAGTCCGTATTTCATACATAAAAGGCTTGCCTAGGTCAACAACTATGGTGCTCTTATCGGGCGATCATGATGATTAATCAAATTACATACCTACTGAAGAACATTTCATAAGTGCCATTTGGTACTGTTTTAGGAATTTTAGTATGTTCTCATGTCAAGTTATGAAAATAATAATGCATGTTATCTGTTTGTCATGCTCAAATTAACTGCTGTATTTTTGGTCTGAGATACTTCCGTTTTTAGATAGGAAATTTCTGCGATGCAATTTTGTTTATTTACATTTGCGTGATGCCTTTGACGGGTGTGTTTTGTTTAATGTTTTGGTAACCTGAGATTGCATGTGCCAAGCACCATTTCTAACTTGCACATTCTGATTGACTTTTTCAACACCCTCTCCGTTTATTCCAGTCAAGTGATCCAGCAGATAAAGATGCATGGAAAGATAAAGGCACAGGGCAGCTATCCATTAAATGCAAAGAGGGTGTCAGCAAGGGTACAAAAGAATCAAAACCAACAGTCATTGTTCGAAATGATGTATGTTTTCTTCTAGACACATAAACTTTAGTCTTTTTAGTTTGATTGTGTGCTTTTAAGAAGTGTGGTATGTTGGCAAAAGGGTGTAATTCTTAGATTTGCCTTTGTTTGAGAGAAGAAGAAAATCTTCATTTCTGTTGCTTTATTGCAATTTCGTCCTTTTAAAGTCATAATATTTTTTAGTTTCTGTTTTCCCTTTTCGTTGTTTAAGTCAGGCCAGTTGTTTCTTTTTAATGGCTTCTTGATGAGTTGAAGTCATTGCATTTAGAAGTATATGTTTTCAGCTGGTCCCTTTTCGTTGTTTGAGTCAGGTCTGTTGCTTTTTTTTTAATGGCTTCCCGATGAGTTGAAGTCATTGCATTTAGAAGTGTACGTCTTCAGCCAAAGTTTAACTTATTCTCTTTTCTGATGGCAGGTGGGAAGAGTGCAGCTTAATGCCTTGTTATATTCTGGCATTAAGACGAATGTACAGAAGAATTCCCTTGTTGCAATATTCCATACTGCGGTAAGACAATGCTGATATTTGGATATCCAATTCGTAATTTTTGGTCGATTTAACTTTACGAAGGATAAAAGAAGCCAGGTTTATACAACTATCGATTAAATATCTGACCCTCAGAAAGGCTATTATAAGCTGTTTGGCTGCCAAAGAAAACTCTTGATTGTTTTTCTCTGGGATTCTGGGTTTATTTCTTGATCCATTAATTAGTTTTAAACTTTTAATCCTCGTAGATCGTAGAGAAATACGCATGCACGTATGTTCTGTAGGGAAATTTGAAATAGTTTTTTGTGTCACTGGGTTTTTTTTTTTGTTGGTGTGTAAAGTAAATCGTTAAGAACAAAGCATATTGTCGGGTCTTCAAAGTTTCAAACAGTAGCGGGGCTTAATTGCCTTATACATAGTTTCGGATGATGCAAGGTACTCCATGAAGCATAAATGTTAACTTGTAATTCATATCATCCAATAATAAGTGCAATTTCTCTTGGATTTTGTAGGGCGAAGGTGATGAAAATGACAGTGTCGTGGCGCGTACTTTCTTAATTAGGTTGAAAACAGAGGAAGATAGAAACAAACTGGCCACAGCATTCCAAGAATATGCTCCTGCATCCTGAAAACGAGTTCCGGTACATTGAGCTACAATAATGTAATCGTGTACTGCTAGAAAGAATTTAATTTTTTCAAATTTTGCGAGGGCGGGTTTGTTAGCTGCCTCTTTTTTTGAGGCTCCGGATCGAGCAGGGTCAGTTTTGATGAGACTCAATAAAGTTAGTGTGTTTAGGAAGCTACCAAATCTTTGTACCACCATTTAGCTATCGAAGTTGCAATTTAGCCCCTTTTATCCCATTTACCTGGCAATTGTTGGATCATGTATGCAGCAATTTTTCACCGGTTTTCATGGTTGATTGGTCCCCTTGTACTTCATTTTTTTTCCGGTTGCGATGTTCGCCTTTTACTTGTTATGCACGTTACTGGTTTTTACTTATGTAACTATGTCGAAGTGCAACGATTTTGCTGTCGTTCTGCAAGTTTATAACTTGCTAACTGGAGAGGAGAAAGCGAGGGATTCTGATATGTATATCAACTGGAGATAAATGCTTCTTGAAACTCTCATTGGATACGCACCACAACCACCACCGCAACCAGTCGCGGAACTAGGTTTTAACCACCACCACCAACATATCCAAAACAGGGTGGTTATCGAATGTCCGATACTGTTAATCGATGATCAGACTGTTTGGTTCTTCAGAGAACTGAGGAATGAAAAACAAACAAAAATTTTCAGGAATATGCTCTTCTTTGGTGTTTTCTTTGTCAAAATTAGGCGACGAACATGGTGATATAATTTTGGCACTCACTATACTGTATAGCGTTTGTAGTCCAACGGTTAGGATAATTGCCTTCCAAGCAATAGACCCGGGTTCGACTCCCGGCAAACGCATTTTTGTTTTGTCTGCTTTTTCAATTTCTGCTTTTATTTTTGTGCCTAATGTAAAATGTTGTTTTCTGCCATTTAGTATTATAGTCTAGTAGTATTATTCACTTTTAAGTGAGAGGTTTTAGGTTCGATTCTTACTAAAGGCGAATTTCAACCACATTATTGCTAACCCATTGTGAGACTAAGCCCCCTCATTCCTCTTAGCGTAGATAATGTGGTTTATTCAAATAAAAAGAAAAAAAAGGGTTGTTTTCCACAACTCGGACTTTGAATCTTGTTATTGTTATCTTTGGAGAGGAGTAAGTTAACTTAAGACGTATTTCAACCTTATAAAAGAAAAACCATTAGACAAATAGCTAGTTGCTAACTGGATATAATCGAGCAATAACTTTAAGAATTCAGACTGGTCACAACGAGATTAAGCTGATCAAGCTCGCCAAGTCCAATTGTGTTGTTCCGCTTGCTGTGAATTCCACACTTGAGTCTGCGTTTCCAGGGAGAAAGAACCCGGTTAAGGATTTTAAGCACAGATAGATAGCTTATTAGTCATTTAGCAACTATGTAACTAATTTGTGGTCAGCTTCGAATAAAAAAAGGAGCCAGGAAATAAGAAATGTATACACACCTCCATATGCTGTATCGAATGTCACCATGTTGGTTTTTAATCATAACGATATATTTCTTTGCTCTACTGAAGAACTTGAACTGAAGAGCATAAAGGTAGGCATCGATGGAACTGGTGAAGAAAACTCAGCTAGACTTGATTCATAGCAGCTGCTAAAAGAAAAACCTCCTGATGCAGGGCAAAAACTAACATTGTAAACTAGGAAACCTGAGAAAGATGATTTTCATGTGAATGCATGTGATTGCCACAGTTCCACTTCACCAGCTGTGGGTGAGCCATTATCTAAGCTAAGGTTATGTGATTCCTATCGAATAATGGCGTAGAGAAAGAACTATTGGAGCATAAGCATGGCAGCTGGATCAATTCATCTCTGATGCTGCTGGGTTGAAGAAGTTCGAATTAGCCTAAGAGCTTTGTTTATAGTTGCAGTTTATAGATTTATAATGAACGGTCAAGATTATAACATCTTAATGGTGTATAACTTGACACGTGTCGTATTTGTTAAGAATTTAATGAAAGCATGTGTAATGCACGTGATCATAGTCACGGTGCAATGGTGGGATTGCAATGGCTATAATGCTTAGTTTGTCGCCGAGTTTCGTGGATCGAATCCAATGAAGGTGCATGGAGCTATGAACTCCATTTTTTGTCTGAATCTCATCTTCATCATACTACGTACCTTCAAATTCATTTCAATTACTAATTGATTTGATTACAAATACACAAAGAAATCTAGCTCAAAACTCTCCTAAACACTAACAAGAACCTCTACCCACTTCCATCTGTCTGCAAACTCGGTTGTCCAGCTTGTGCGTCTCTTGACTTGCACATGCACGATCTTTCATCCTAAACCCTAAAATTCATAGAAACTTCATTTTAGCTCCGAATGTGATTCCGTTTGTGCCCACACGTTCGTATCGACGAATGCTACGTGAATAAATTAAAAGAAAAATTCCTACATGTCAATGAGTGGAAGTCAACAGAAGTCAAAGCTTCTATCGTTAAGGGTATTTTCGTAAATTTAACTAATTAAAATGTAAATTTAAGACTCGACATCCATTAAGTACGTCTATCCTTGCATGCATATTTGCAGTTGGTGTATAATCTCGTCACTTTAGCTAGATCAGAGGAATGCGTTTGAAGCAACATTCTGAAAGCTAGAATACATCACACTTGTACGATACAAGGATCGAGATGAGACATAGTAGGCATTGCCTACGCAAATTTGAGTCGTTTTACATGAACGTTGACGTTCTTATCTTTCCCTAATAGCGGGAAGATTGTCTCATTGAAGTGACAATCCACAAATGAGTGGTAAAGAGATCGCTTGCAAGGGCTTTAAGAGAGCTAGTGTAAAGGAGAATGACAATCAACAAAGATTCACATCCTTTCTTTGAAGACCCATATTGGTACATTACGGCGGTGCAACTTGGCACATGGAATGTACACCTAAAAGCATAAGCATGAAATGTCAGGTTCATACCAGTAACCAACTATAATGTTGAATAGGTCGGGTGGTAATGGGCCTCAAGGCGTACTAACATAGTTGCATTCAAGATTGCATAGCCCTAGGTGGAAATCGAAAGCTTGGTGTGTTCACCAAGGTCCGAATGATCATTTAAATTGCGCTTTATGATCGCTCTACAAGGTTGTGTTGGGGTGAACATGGGAATTCAATGTCTAATTACAAAGCCATGCAATACTTTATCAAAAACCTTAGATATAAACTCTTTGGCATCATCCAATCTTCCAAACTTTATGGGATAATCAAGATGGTGAACCCTTAAAATCGACCAGGAGGTTTAGCAATAATGTGTGTGGACAAAACATGTGACCAGTTTGTTGATTCATCAATTTCCCCAATGAGCAAATTTGGCAAAGTGTGCCTGTAAGCACAAGATTCTTACTCGAATAAGAAGATGCGTCGTGGCATCATTGTTCGACCTAAGTGTCCCAAATAGTCGTGCCAAAACAAGTAAACTGCTTGAATCACCCGGCTCTAGGCCGGTCACATGTGGCTTGTCCTAGTTAGGAGGTATCCCATTGGCCTAAAATGAAGCTGTAAGCTCATTTTTTGAGGTGTGCAAATTGTATTAGTACCAAAAAAATCTAATTGTGCCCTTCAAACTTTGCATATTTAAAGAAAGCACACCAAATAAACAGTGCCAATAGTAGTTTCATATAATTATCGGTTGTATTTTGTAAATACATAAGTTAAGTCAATATTGATGTGCTCCCTTGCAGTTGCCAATCTTCATCCATATAGGCAAAGTATTGTCATGTAAAAAAAAGATTCTTCTAACGACCTTTGCCAATTTAATTTTATAATTTGTAACTTAGTTAGTTAAAAGGATTTATCCTTTGCATCTAAAGTTCAATTCTTCTCTTTCAATCACTTGTGTACGTAAAATCTAAAACAAAAGAAGAAAAAAAACTTTGTAATGCATTATATGGTCCAAGAACAAAAGGCAAAAGGGTGATGAAATGAAAGTACCTTTGAAAGTATGCTAACTCATCTAAACAATATCTAAAGATTTGAAAGTGATGGTAATGCTAATGACATTACCTTTACATTAAAGGAAAACTAATGAAAATGACTTGAAAATTTTGAGTTTTAACGATAATGACAAAATAAAGGGTAAAGTGAATAGTATCAGGATTGACTTTTTAGTGCAAAAATATGATTTTTTGTTAAAATGAACAGTATCGGAAACTTTTCGTTAAAGTTCCCTTACATTAATCACTTGCCTCCTTTCTTTTCACCCTTGCTGATTGTTCCATTCTCCTCTCAGCCAATAGTCAGCCCCTAATTTGCTTTCATTTTTCTTTGAGTGGCCTAAATGGAAGGAATGCATGCGAGGAAATGAGTTATAATTAAAACTATACATTAAGGATGAGGAGATTCAAACTTGAACCCTCTTTCAAAAGGCAACAAAAATTCTCAACGAAATCTCTACATTTTGGACATACACATTTGTGGATTTAGTTAGAGAAATACTACTAAACCTCTAAAAAGCTAATTCATGGCAGTACTCATAAGGATTAATTAAATACCTAAAACCCAACCTTTTAATGTCATTCCAAATGGATCTCAATCTTTTAAATGTTTCAAATAAGTACTCAATCTATTGAATATGTAACATCCCACATTGCCCAAGGAAGTGAATCTTGTAAGGCTTATATGTATATTCCCATCTCTACCTAGCACGAGGCCTTTTGGGTGCTCACTGGCTTCGGATTCTGTAGGAACTCAGAAGTTAAGCGAGTTCGTGCGAGAGCAATCCTAGGATGGGTGATCCACTAAGAAGTTCTCGTGTGAGTTCCCAGAAACAAAACCGTGAGGGTGTGGTAGGGGCCCAAAGTGGACAATATCGTGTTACGATGGAGTCAAGCCTAGGATGTGGTGGGGGACCAGGCGGGGATGTGACAATTTGGTATCAGAGCCAATCCCTGGCCAGAAGTGTGCCGATGAGGACGTCGGGCCCCTAAGGAGGGTGGATTGTAACATCCCACATAGACCAAGGGAGTGGGTCCTATAAGCCTTATATGTATATTCCCATCTCTACCTAGCACGAGGCCCTTTGGGTGCTCACTGCTTTTGAGTTCCATAGGAACTCCGAAGTTAAGTGAGTTCACGCGAGAGCAATCCTAGTATGGGTGACCCGCTGGGAAGTTTTCATGTGAGTTCCAAGAAACAAAACCATGAGGGTGTGGCAGGGGCCCGAAGTGGACAATATCGTATTACGGTGGAGTCGAGCCCAGGATGTGGTGGGGGCCCTGGTCGGGATGTGACAATGTCACATTAGTTAAGCCCCAGTTAATTTTTTCGTTAAATATACGTGTGGCAACAATCAATCCCAA